ACTTCCATGCGTCACCATGAGAATCACGGATACCATCGATCAGCCAGGAAGCTGCATGGCATATTTCATGGATCAAAGTATCCCGGAGTCGGTCTTAGAAGAGGAATGAAAAGAAATCATGAGCATTTCAAACTGATTCCTTCTGTCTGCCACCCAACAGCCCCTAGACTCTCAACCCACTAACACCACCCTCCTCTAGAACAGCATATGAAAGCAGGCATGAGAACCCTCTTAGAATTCTGGAAGGGAAATTTCTTCCAACTGCAACCCAGTTTTGTTAACGGCAAAGAGACTTTGGTGAGCAAGTCTTTTCAGAGGAGCTCCGACAGACCCCTTTTTTGTGAGACACTACTGGAAATACACCCAGCCAAAACCTGGTTTCTGCCCTTCAAGAACATAAGCGGACAGGGTGGGAACATCACTGGCCAAGGCACTCGGCCAGAAGCTCCACAAATTGAGCTGAGTTGGGACCCGAAATTAGCAAACTGAGGATGGGTCATTCTAAGTGTGGCCGAAGGAAATCTGGCCGAAGCAGAGTAGTAGCGGAGCAGCGAGAAACAAGACTAGCCAAGCAGATTGGTGGAGAAGTATGAATGAGAGCCTCAAAAGCCAGGCTTCAGGTGTCAATCAGGTCTAGGAAAGCAGGAAAGCAATTCGGTAGCATTGAGGAGACTGAATGGGGCAGAGAAGGGTGAGGTGAAAAAGGCCCAGACCCAGGCGGAGGCAAAGTGGAGAGGGAGTGATGACACGAGAGACCGTGTAAAGACTGCTACAGGGACTTGAAGTTCAGCCTGTGGGAGAACAAAGATACTGCTGCGGGCAACAGGGAGCTGCTGAGAAAGGCCCAGGAGAGAGATGGATCAGCGGTACTCTCAGGAACGGTGAGACCTCCTACAGTAATGTCTCCTAAACAGCACACAGGCCTGTGACACAGGTTGCTGGAGAATACCAACACCCGAGAGACTCTTAACAGGTGCCGAGTCTGAAGTATGCAGCAGAGAGGCTGCTGGGCTCCTGCCGTCACCTGCAGAGTCGCAGACTTTCAGAGAGATCTCAATCTTGGCGTAGCGCTCCCTCTTTGGGTGACAAGTCTCACCGGTGGTGCACAAGCCAGCAGTTCTCAGCATCTTTTTATTCCAGCCAATGTCTATTTTCTCTGGCATCTGGGAGTGCAAAACCAACAAAGTAACTCAGGAAGCAGTTTTCTGCTGACCAGAAACTATCAGCTCAAAAGGCTTTTATAAATATAAACCTGGAGAGAATAAAAGCCAAGTGGAAGTGCAGGCAAAGACGCTGAAAGGCAATGGGGGTACAGGGGAGAACGTGAGAGCATGTGCATGCAGAACCTGTGCTCCCTCATATGGAGACAAAGTCGGAGCAGCCAGGAGTGGTAGGCCTGCTGTGGTAGGAGGTGCAAGGAAATGTGCCCAAAGAGTGGGGAGAAAAAATTTAAAATGCAACAAAAACATTTCAGGATCCACTAATCAGAGTTGACTTATGTAGCACTGCTGTCGTGAGGAAGGGCACCAAGGGCTTGGGAACCCTAGGATGATGTAAGCACTTTCCCTGCACAAAATTCTGTCACCAAAGGTAATAAAGTCTGAAAAATGCCCCACAGCTCTCTCTCCTCCAGAGTCTCCTCAATCCAGCCCATGCCCCCATGCCACTTCCAGATTAACCTCTTTCAGCAGCCACTTCATGTCACATCATATCCCTGTGCAGTGGCACCCAGACTGCCAAGTAAGCTCCTGCACCTGGCCCTCAGGTCCTCCAGCACGTACTTTCACACTAGCAAAAAAAAAAAAAAAGCTAACAAGTATTCAAGCAGTGCTTACTATGTTGAAGATCCTATTCTCGGCACACTTAGTTACATGAACTTCCTCAGACTTAACAATAGTTCTATGAAGGGGCAGGTACTGCTGCTGCCCCCATTTTATAGATGGGAAACTGAGGCAAAGAGGAGCTAAGTAACACTTGTTCAAGATCATGTATTTCTTTGATGCTACCCTTCAACTTGAACCCTCTTCCAGGTGGTCCCTTTCCCCACCACTGCTGCTCCCTCTACTTAACTTCTTTCAAGAACCAGAAAATGGGCCTCCCTGGTGGTACAAGGGTTAAAGCATCAGCGCTAACAAACTATTGACAACCACTGCAGCCTGAGTTCAACCACCAGCCAGGGAGCTGACCCACATGGCACGGCAGACCTCTCCTGTCTCGTCCGCTGCTCTTCTCAGCAGTGTACTTAGTGGATCCACCTGTTCTGTTCCCCACTCTATCTCTGGTGAAGCCTCTCACCACCCCCCACCCCGTACCTCTGGCCTAAACCCCAGTTCTTGTATGCCTACATAAATAACAATGATTCTTAAAAAAAAAAAAAAAAAGAAGAAGAACCAGAAAAACTCACTTCCTCCTTGCAATCCTATTTCCTTACCACTCAGGCGCTCAGTGATCCCTCCCTCTGTGGATCTCCCACGGTACCAACAGTTTATAACATGTATTATAACCCACAAATATTGTCTCTCCCACAAATGCAAGTCTCCACTCCCCCCACTAACTGACTCGTCCCAAGGATAGAAAATACAGTTAGCACATCTGGTACCTCACAACAGTCAGGACTGCTCGGCATGCCACAGGGACTCACTAAGTGCTAATCCTTACCTTTTTATCAAAGATAGAGCTGTTAAATAGAGCATAGAGTTTCTGAACCAGCTCATCTTTATTTTGCTTGAATTTCTTTCCAGAATACTGCTTTGACTTCTCAAGGTCACGTAAGAAACATCCAGGGATTTTGCACATAACATCCCTGCAAAGGTAAATCTGACTGAGTTCTGTATAGCAGAAGTTAAGTTAGAAGAAATACATGCATACAGATCACATCAAGGGTGACTTTGAAAACATGCTGGGCCCCTCTTCCAAATACTTGAAAGGAATTCTCAGAGACTGAAGCCGTGGTCTCAACCTCGACAAAGGGACACCACACCTGTATCTGCAGTCTGATGAAAATTTCCAAGTAGGACCCTCCCTGGTGGTACAGTGGGTTAAAGTGCAGCACTGTGAAGCTCTCCGCAGCCACCATAGCACGAGTTCGATCCTAACTTTGATCCCCAGCCAGGTAGGTGACCCACATGCACAGCAGACCTCTCCTGACCTGCCCACCCGCCACTCCCCTCAGCAGTGGATTTCCTCTCACCCGCTCCTACCACTATCACCACCACTGGTCTGTAGCCCAGTTCTTGTATGCATAAATAAATCTTTAAAAAAGAAAATTTCCAAGTATCATGGTCACGCCTCTGGTTCAATGTGTTTAATTCTCCAACTTCTGTTTGTAACAGGTGACACTTTTAAAATAATTTTCTCCCTTCCCCCATATTCAGTTAAGCACAAATGCAGACCCCACCATGCTCCTTCCCACCCCACCATCACCACTCCAGTTCAAGTTTCCCCCACCACCCCATGCCACAACACCACAGCACCCCTCTAACTGTGTTCCTGAGCTCCAGGCTCACTTTCATCTAATCTAACCACACCTCCTCCAGATTTACTGTTATGCCCGGCTACAGATATTATTACGTCCCTCTCTGGCTTTTCACAAACTGCTTGGTCTGGCATTCCAGGTCTGGGATGATCTGTTCCCAATCTCTTATTTCCAGCTCCCATTCCCACTCTGCCAAAGTAATTGAGGCCACTGTTCCCTGAACCCCAAGTGTGATTTCCCATAGTTCACTCATGCCTCAGCACAACCTACCACCCACATTGTCACCTCTACTAAGAACCACCAGCTGTGTAGCGTTTTATCATATGCAAAGAATTTCCATCTGCACTGTCCTATTCAATTCTCCCACACTTTCCAAAGAAACTATTACTACTCTTATGACCTCCATTTCACAGAAGTTAAGTGGCTTGCTCGAAGTTCTCTGAGACAAGGACTCTTCTGACCAAAATCTCAGGGGCTTTCCCTTAAGCCACTACTGCTGCCTCACTCTCAAGGCCTAATTCCAAAAGCCCAAGAACAGTGATGAGGACACAAAGGATTCCATTCTTATAACAACTATTTAAAAAATGAAACACTTTTATCTTGGCTGGACCCATCCACAAATCTAAGATGAGCCCACAAAGCTGGAGAGATAAAATAGGAACAAACACAGGGAAGTGAGTCTCTACCTTAACAGCACTCCTGCAACTCGAGATCTCACCAAAACACCAAACAAGACAAAGGCCACAGAACTCAGGGTCTTCATCCCAAAGCATGACAGGGCGGAGGGGGGCAACCCCACGGGGCACTAACATATCTTTTTCTCATTACTTGGTTCTAAAAGCAAATTTGTGTCAGAAAAGGTGGCAATGGTTCAGATCTGCACACCTGTTCCGTAACAGTAGCCCTGTGAGTTTGTGCTCATGTCAAACAGGCCTTGTGGCTTAGCATGCCTTCACCTCAACTTCTGTGCCAACTTACTACAGGCTGAGCATCTCCACATCAGAGGAACCAACAAGACCCCAAAAGGGTATACGAGACACCATGACCAGCAAGCAGCCTACACAGAAACAATGCAAAGCACAACAGGAAGCTCACAGGCTGAAACAGGAAGTACTAAGGTAGCAGTGAGGAGCCTAAACAAACTAGCCTCTTTTGGACGCTGCAGATGACAATGACACAAGGGGCAGCTTCTTCCTTCTTTGGTATCATTCTCTAGCAAAGCAACCTGACAGCTACCCAAAATACACATCCCTATAGGCAAAGCAGCTGAAACATGCCTGTTAATTTCAAAGAAACTGCTAAAGGGGGAGCTACGTAAGAGGACATGCCACACGGTTGTCAGCTACCTTGCCTGGTGAAAACAGTCTCTCTGCTTAGGTCCAAGTTGCTCTGTTGCCCTAAATGCCAAACACACTGTTTTTTTTCCTCCCCCTTAAATGCATTTAGTGTCCAAAAATACAGGTAAAAACTAAACATGCAGTCCTTCAAATATATCCCTTCTCTTGTAAGCAAATATTACTCCTGAATGCAAGTACAAAGTAAATTATGCTCATTGCATGTGTTTAAAGGAAAAGGTGAGCGCTTCCTGGAACCTAAATGAGAAAGTGTGACTATTCTGTATCAAGTATGAATATGTCTTTGGTCTCAATGACCTGTTTTCAGTATCAATTACATACAGCTTATTAAAAACAAAAGAACTACAAGCAACCTAAATTTAAGCTCAAATTCACAAGAATATATACAAGGATTCAGAATTAACTACATCCAACACTGGAAAACCTAGGAAGAGTCCTGCCTTCTCGCCCTTTACACTGTGCTTGCTTTGCTTTAAAGCAAACTGGTGACACCAGGGCTGTAGCTAGCCTGAAAAAAGCGAAGTGCTCTATATCATTCTGTACCCTGGGTTTGAGAACAAAGGAAACCTCAGAGGCCAGAGCTGCTGTAGGGGAAGAGCGCCAGAGTGCCTGCACCCATGGGATTTCTCCTCCTCCTCTTCCTCCTTCTCCTGCTCTTCCAGCTCAAGGACAGAAAACTTGGTTCCATCGGACTTGTTCATGCCCTTGAAAGTCCCCACATGCTTTAACAAGTGACCATGATGAAATGAGGTCCTGTCAATTCAATATGAGCCATACCTACCCAGTCTTGGTTTCTTCTGTTGCTTTGAGTTTCTTCTTTGAGGGCCCACGTGTCTTACGTTCCTTAACAGCTGAAAAGATAGGATGTCATTTGTCCCCTGACTGTAGGTACCATCAAGCAACTGGCAAGAAGGTGACCCCAGGTGGAGCCCCCAACAGCAAGCCTAGAGCAACATCTATAAACCAAAACTGTCCAAAGCCTGCATACTGTTCTGACAGTCAACAGGAGAGCTGTTCCCTCTGTGAATCACAGAGTTGCGGAGTAAGCTGGGTAAGATTCCGTCTGATGAAAAACAGAACGAGGTGACATCAGCATGCCAGGAAAGATCAGACTGTGCAGGCAGCTGAGGCATGTGGAGTATACAGAATGGTGTGGCACAGCTCAGGCACTTGCTCTGAGCAATGTGGCTCATGCCCAAGACAGCACCTTCACCCCTTACCAGGCCAAATCTTCCCACCTTTGTCCGGCACTCACACTGCCGGCTGCTCTAGCATGAGACTCACATAGATGAAGCTTGTGCCATTTGTTCATTTGTTCAAAAGACTTATTAGATATCTTTTACATGCCAAGCACCAAGCTAAACCTTGGGAGAGACAACAAGATTAAGAAGAGTCCAGTCCTCCTCACTGTCTAGTGGGGGTGGCAGAGTGAGAGCCAGGGACATTTCAACAGAGCTATATAGAGACAGGGCCCATGATCCTTAGGAATCGAAGAAGGAGGCACACAAGTCTAACTTACAGCTTCCTATAACTAGTGACAATTGGGCTGAGTCACTGACTCAGAAAAATGAGATACCCTCAGGACAAGAACACAGGGAGAAAGCACTCCAGATAGACGGAGCAGCAGATGCTGACATGGGCACAAAGGGGAAGACTAGACATATCTCCCCCCTCCCCAGAAAGATCCCTTTCACTGCCAACAGCTGTCTCCCTTGGTCACTAGAATGCTGCTAAAATGGAAGAGGTTGTTAGACAGGACAAGCATACCCAAAAAATCAAGACATATCCAGGCAAAGGACGTGGCACCCACAGAGGTGCGGTGGGGGGAGGGAGGGCACACTCGCCAGGCTAGGCATACTCAGTTGGGAAAAGCACACAAGTCTTCATTATCTTACCAGGAGCCACAGAGATATGTTTGGTTTTGTTCTTCCTTTTCCTTGGTTGTTCCACAGGCTCTTCATCTGACAGCTTTCTACCTAAAGCCTCCAGGTTAGCCTGAGAATCACTTGGTGGCTGGCCAAGATTTTCATCAAGATGCTGCTCACCAGCAGCATCAGAGGAACTGCTTTGGGAGGTACTAAACTCATTCATCTCTTTTTCACTTGAGGACATTTGGTCCTGATCACATGAATCTTCTATTGTGACAGGACCCTCCAAAACACTACTCTCATCATCAGTAATAACTATTGGAAGATCCTGGATTTTAGGGTGCTCCTCAGTATCAGATATGGTTTCCAGAAGCTCATCTGAAATTCAAAAAAACACAACCACATATAAAAATACTCCTTCCATCCCCTCCCCATACTTTCAACTTCAGATTATTGATCACAAATTAAACAAGCCAGGAACTGTGACATTAGGCATGCTAGTTACAAATCAGTCACTTTATATCATTTCCCCCCATAGCTTATCTTTCTGAGAGTATTGACAAATAAAATAGAAGTCCAAGTCTGGCAACAATCTTCAAATCTCATTCTCCAAGCAGCATAATGTGGTTTCTAACACAGGTCTGCAGACTTGCAAATTTCCACTGATCCACAGCAAAATAAGAGAAGTTAGAATAAGGGTTTTTTTTTACCCACCAAATTTAATTTCTACCACTTAAAGGACTGCCCTTTGAGACTATGTCCCCACTAACCTTCTGGTGCTCTTTGATAAATTATTAGTAGATAGTTGTGGAAATTTACCTCTGTTATTATACATATTAAAAATTGGGGCTACACTATGTTGGTCATCAAAATTTAACTTTTTAACTGCTCCTTACATGTTAGGCTCTCAGAACCACTGACATGCGAGAATGAAGAGCCAATCCTCACGTCAGTACTGACAGACCCAGGAAACCCCGCTCTGTCAGTGCTCCCATTAAAGGTCCCTACTTCATCTAGAAACTGAGGGTGTAGAGCATATCTTTCTGGAGTCCACTCAGAGCTCAACTTCTAGATGTAAAAAATATAAACCATGGCACAAGCAAAATGTGAAACTATATTTATGGTGCAAAAGCTTTTTTAACCTTAAATTGCAAATCTGGAATGATATATTTTGAGAGTCATATCTGCTATTTGAATTCATTATCAAAGAACTTCAGATATGCAATAAGGGAAAAAAAGGGAGCGGATGCTCCTATAATAAAAACTCATCCTTCCTAGAAAATTCAAATGTAAATGCAGTTGAAAATTTTTAAAGTAGGAAAACACTGCTTACTATATATATGTGTGTGTATATATATATATATATATATATATATATTTTTTTTTTTTTAAGTAACTACACAATGAGAAGTTACAAAGTGGGACGTGTGTGTTAAAGCTCCTAGGTCTCTTTTTTCCTGTAAAATTACCAAAACTCACTGCAATAACAGAAGGAATGACATGTAGAGAACAGGAAAAAAAAAACAAAAAACCAGAAACGGTTCTGTTGGAGCATTCTTCATCCCTCCATTCCTAGGGCAGAGGCCTACTATCAGGGCCCACTAGTTCAGAAAGATAGAAGCAACTTCACTTGAAAGTTCATCCTATAAAGAATACAGATCTTCAGACTCAGGGTGGTGAGCTGCTTTCTGGCTGTCATTCATGTCCCATGCTCAAGCTATCTATCTTTGGATACCCTTTGCACTATGGTAACTTGTCATGTCATCCTTTACTCTGCACCTGGACCTCTGTCCCAAAGAGGACAGTTGGAGACTAGGGTTCCAAGCCTCTGCTCTCTTTCCCATGCTGATATCTCAGGTAAGCTAGGAAGCTCTAGCCAGAGGTAGCCACAGGTAGTCAGTAATCTAAGGGTGCTGAAATATTAACTGGAAGCCTGTATGGCATGTTCTACTCCCGGAAGTGAGCAAAGATTAATCAAATACCATCCCTGATACTTGAGAAATTCCTTATCTTCCTCCATTTCACACCCACTTAGCAGGTTCTAAACTGTGAGTTGAGCGGCACAGCTTCCCCAGAGGCTAAAATGGCCACACAAGGATCTGCCACAGGACACAAGGATCACAACACACACAAGGATCTGCCACAGGAAACAGACTAAAGGAATCTTTAGAAAAATATATAAAGGGAGGAGCAAAAGGCAAAGACAAACAGCTGGAGAAAGCAAGAATTCCCCTGAGAAGTTACTGTCTGCTGTCCATGACCATCATCAGCCCACATTTCCATCAAGCTGTAAAGACCAAGCCTGTCTTACTCCTCTTTCAGCCTTTTTCTCCTTCCTACATGCACTCAGGAGGAAGAGGGGAAGGAGAAGAGCAGAGCAGCCTTCAGACTTCTCATTCTCCAATCATGACTCTTCCTTCTGCTTTCCCTGTTGTAATATGAGGTGGATAAGAATTCTACTGAGGGAGATGCCTCAGGTCTAAGGCAGCACGAACAGTTGCTATGGTATTAAAGGAATTTACAGGGGTGCAGGGAACGCAGTGAATCATACTGTGAAGTGATTCAGAACACATCAGCTGCTGACCCTTATGCTGAAACAATTGTAAGTGACAAAGCTACTCAGAACTCAGCTACTTCTCCAAGTTAGTGGTATACTTGCCTTCACTGCTTATTTCAGTTATCTTAGCTCTCTTTCTGTCTTGGAAGCATTCCTCATCAGATTCTGAGTCAATCACCATGAAGCTGGGTGACAAGACAGGAAAAAATGAGAAATATGAACAAAACATCCTTCTTTTCATAGCATTTTCTACCTTTTCAATATCAATAAATGAACATGATCATTTTGACATGTTTCACTGATTTGTTTCCCACCTAACTCTGTTGCCCTTCTTTGGAAGTGCTCATTATGCATGCAACAAACTGAAATCACCACTTTCCCCCCACTCCCAAGTCCACTCTTCCTACAATTTCCCATGTATAGAAGCACCTGGGACTGGGCCAGATTAGAGAGGCCTTCAAGTTTCTTTCATATGACAAGTAACTTAAATAAGGGATAGAAAAATCACAACAGTGACTCAGGAGTTTCATCTAAGTGGGATGAAGACTGATTAAGGACAAAGAGCCCACTTCAAAAGTTCTTGCTCTAATACAAGAATAAAATTTGATCAGGACTTGAGTAGTGGAATCTGGAAGTTAAGAGACGGGTGAGAGACATATGAGGACAAAACAGATCAACTACATAATGGGCCAGAGCTAAGGAATCTAGTATTTTGAACCTGCGTATAAGATCAAAACCCACTGTGATCCTAAACAAAGCATCCACAGAGGAAATGTGATGTTTATTCTTAAATCTTCTCATTCAGAATATCACCCCTTAAAAAAAAGTCAAATTCATGGAATCAACCCAAATGCCCAAAAGCAGATGAATGGGTTAAAAAGATGTGGTACATATATACAATGGGATATTACTCAATGATGAAAAAAGATAAACTCATGCCTTTTGCAGCAACACTGATGGAGCTGGAAGGGATCATGCTTAGTGAAAGAAGCCAGAAAGAAAAGGGAAAATACCGGATGGTTTCACTCATAGCTGGAGCATAAAGGACCAGGGGGAAAACATAATAATAATTATCAACAATTATATACCAGAGAAATTTTACAAGGGTGGAGTGGGGAATGGGATTAAAAAATTGGGGGTGGGGAGTGCAAGGGACTATGGTGATGGCAAATCCACAGGGATTACAACTGAGATGGAAAAAGGCACAAAATGATGTAAAAATAAACTATTATAATTTTAAAAAGTCAAATTTCACTGATTTTCTTACTTACTTGATGTTGTTCTTCTGTGTGCGCATTTTGGCCACAGCTAAATCAGAGAAATAAAAGGGCATCAAAAAGCATCTGAAGCATGATCAAATCTAGTTACCCATGTCTTTAACTCCTATAAACAAAATCCACAGAGCTGTTTAAAATTGATGGTAAATTCCATATCCCCATAAGAAACAAAGATAAAATAAAAGGAGACCTAGAATGAAGAAGGTGAAGGAAGTAAATTGGAAAAGCAGCCCAAAGAACTTCCTGTGTTCCTAACAAATGGGAAAGCAAGTTTGTTTCACTAGAGAGCCTTTGAGCATGATCACACCAAATGCCCCAAATCATATCTTAGTCATCTCTACAAAGTCAGGGTTAAATGAGACTTTAAAATGTAAATTACCACGGTAAGTGGACTCTACTTACAGGACACAAATTCTTCATCACTGCTCGAATCCACAATGCAACTGCAAAATCAAAATGTACAATTTTTTAAAGGCAAGCTACTAACCTCACAAGCAACCAGATGTCAAAAATCTCAAAGAAAGAGAACCACCACCAATCACAATGTCTGAAATGCAAAAAGGTTTCAAAGTCTTTAAGTATGTAAGAAATTAAGATCACAATACCACAGATTAGGAAAAGTTAGCAACAACAAGCTACTCAGTCTTCAGTGTGGAATCAAAGGGGGATGTTAGTTGAGTGTCATTAACTATCAGTGAGAAGCCCATTTTCAGTCAAATGATTTATTTCTATCACAGATATGAATGAAAGTGAATCCTAAAAAAGAGGTCTTAGGGGAAAGGGTTAAAGGATGAAGAGGTCATAGTTAAAAACTGAAAGGGCAAAAGAGCAAAGAGGGCATCTTCAAGGGCTTTGCTGCTTGAAAAGGGCCCACTTACTGGAATCGCTAATTGGGTAAATGGCCAAATGTTGAAGTCCATTTCTTGGGAAGCAAATAAAAGGTGATTTCAGAGTTGTAACTGCTCCCAACAGTGAACCATTATGTGGAGGCCTCTCGCCTTCCCACCTCTGCCTGAGGCCCAGGATTCATTCTTCCCTGCCCTATGGCAGGCTGCGTGGCCAGTGGTTAAAGCTGTCGGAGGGGACACCAAAGTACTGTCTGGTTCAGGATCCTTCAGCTCACCAGGTAACAGCCAAATGGATCTCCCGTGACCAGCCATTCATGACAAAGATCCAGAATCCAGTTCAGAAGTCACACTTCAAAATGCATCACACTTCGATGCTGGAGCCAGGCTATACTCTAGAACCTGATCATAGGCAATGTTATCTTCAGTCATTGCATTATGCCATACAGTTCAGAAGGAACCACAAAGTGGATATATACGAGCCATGAGATTTTACATTTATAAAGTTTTACTTAGAAAAAATTAGTCTTGGGCCCTCCCTGGTGGCAGAGCGGTTAAAGCACAGCACTAAGAAGCTAAAGCCACTTCACCACGAGTTTGATCCCTGACCCGGAGGTGACCCACAAGGCGTGTGGCAGACCTCTCCTGACCCGCCTGCTCCCCACTCTGTCTCTGGTGAATCCTCTCACCGCCCCTGCACCTCTGGCCTGTACCACAGTTCTGTATGCATAAATAAATAAATCTTTAAAAAAATTAGTCTTAACCACTTCTTGGGGACTTTTATTTTGGCCTTGAAATTGACTGATTAGTTATACATTTAGATATACATTTTTACTCTTTCAAGACACATGGGGGTTCAACCCATTGATAGAATTTCCAATCCATTTATCAATCACTGTACACAAGACTTAATCAACAGTAGGTTTCATTGGTGATTTTGTTTGTTTGTTCAGTTTGTAATCCAGAAAGCTCTTGTTGGATATAAGGTTTCATAGATATGGGTCAAAATTTGTCTTTGGTTATCTGGAAAACTATTATCAATACATAGCATTTATATGCAAACTAAAGTGATTCATATTTTATTTATCTTCTTATATACTTTTGTATTACACACTTTTTTTTAAAGATTTATTTATTTATGCATACAGAACTGGGGTACAGGCCAGAGGTGCAGGGGCGGCGAGAGGCTTCACCAGAGACAGAGTGGGGAGCAGAACAGGCAGATTGACGAAGCACACTGCTGAGGGGAGCAGCGGGCGGGTCAGGAGAGGTCTGCCACGCCATGTGGTCTCCTCCGGAGCAGGTGGGAATTGAACTCATGTGGAAGTGGCTTTAGCTTCTCAGTGCTGTGCTTTAACCCGCTGCACCACCATGGAGGGCCTGTATTACACACATTTTTAAAAAAGATTTATTTATTTATGCACACAAGAACTGGGGTACAGGCCAGAGGTGCATGAGGTCAGAGGATCTACCAGAGAATGGGGAGCAGAACAGGCAGATCTATTAAAATACACTGCTGAGGGGAGCAGTAGGCTGGTCAGGAGAGGTCTGCTGAGCCATGTGGGTCACCACCCTGGCCAAGGATCCAACTCCTGCTGCAGTGGCTGTGGCTACCTTCACAATGCTCTGCTTTAAGGAGGGCCATACACACATTGTTTAAGAGATCAAAAAGGAGGCATAAGGAATAAGAGACTGAAAACATGACACAAAAAGTTAGATAATGAAAGACTCATTCTAATCCCTAGACAATATAGTGAATTCCAGATAAGATACTAATCAACAGGAGCTGTTCAAAGTCAAAAACTAAAGAAAAAACAGTCAAAAAGAAAAAACAGATACCTCTTCCGAGTAAAATTCAAGACCAGGAGTACAAAGCCTTAGAAACAGTTTCAAGGTTCATGTCACTGTTATTAGAAATTATATGCACCTAGGAAAAAGTAGTTGGCTTAACCGGAACCCTATCAAAAAAGGACTATGAAATCGCCTTAGGGCCCTCCCTGGTGGCACAATGGGTTAAAAGCACCACACTGTGAAGCTATCTGCAGCCGTGGCATGAAGCTGTGGCAGGAATAAGATCCCTGGTCAAGGAAGTGACCTACATAGCGCAGCAGACCTCTCCTGACGGGCCTACTGCTCCCCTCAGCAGTGTATTTCAGTCGATCTGCCTGTTCTGCTCCCCACTCTGTCTCTGGTGAATCCTCTCACACCCCACACCTCTGGCCCATACACCAGTTCTTGTGTGTGTAAATAAATAGTTCTTTCTTTAAAAATCACATTAGTTAAAAAAATAAATCACAGTAAACTGATGGAGCCTCTGAAAAATAGTAAGGCAACTCCTCAAAAAATTAAAAATAGAACTACCATGTGACCTAACAACCCCACTTTTGGGTATTTACCTGAAGAATGTGAAAACATTAATTCAAAAAGGCATATGCAGGGGTCTCTTCCCTGGTGGCCTAGGTTTTAAGTCTTAGCACTATCATCGATAAATCTCCGGCCAGGGAGCTAAACCACAGCAGACCTCTCCTGACTCACATGCTGGTCCCCGTGGCAGACTATTTCAGTAAATCTGCCTTTCCTGTCCCCTACTCTGTCTCTGCTGAATCTTCTCACCCTCACAGCTCTGGCCTACATACTAGCTCTTCTACACATACAGAAAAAAGGCACCTGTAGCCCTATGTTCACTGCAGTACTAGTCACAATAGCCAAGCTATGTAAACAATCCAAGTGCCTGAGAACGGATGAATGGATAAAGATGTGCTCTAAAGTAGTGGAACACTACCCAACTATAAAAAAAATGAAACTCTGCTATTTGTGGCAACATGCATGGAACTTGAAGGGATTATGCTAAGTGAAATTAAGATAAAAGAAGCGAAAATACAGTATAATTTCACTCATTTGTGTAGCACAAAGCAAAAAAAGCTGTCAAAACAAACCTTTAGATTCTGACGACAGAACGGAAGTTACCAGAAGGAAGAATAGGCAGAAGGGGGCTTACTGGCTGGTAGTGGATACTAGCTGGACATCTGGAGTGGGAGTGGTGAGATACATATTTGCTGAAGTTAGAAACTGTTCACCTGCAACCTCTAGCACTGTAAACTAATATTATGTCAATAAAAAAGAAAAAGTCATATTAGGTTTTGAACATAACAAAAGAAAAAAACCTCAAAAGCTTTTTAAAGGATCTCCAAAGATCTCCCCTTTAAAACTGGGCTCATACTCCTTCAAGACTGTGTATAGACAGACATTTTTGTGATTATAGAAGTTCTAGAAGAACCAACACCACATTAAGAGTTATTGCCTCACTAGCATAGGAAGATGTGTGCATGAGGGTGGACTTTCACTTTTTATTTTCAATGCTTCCATACTATTTGATTATTTTTATTACCAGCTCATATTCCCATTGCAAATTTGAAACTCAATGTTATCACTAAATATGATGGGTACATCAGTGGTTCATTCCTTCATTGATTCAATATTAAGCATTTCTAATAGCCAACCCACCAAGTAATCCATTTGCTTTTCTGATCTGATTCTTTTCAACTGAGTGTATCAGGGTTATTTTTAAAATATGGTATTTCTGCATGTTATCTTGTGGTAGTATTAAGAAAACAAAGAATCTGTGGCTAAAAAAAAAAGACTAGGCAGTGGGTGTTAGAAAGTATTAATTAGACTCTGACTAGTGAAAATCAGTCCCCCTCCCAAGCCCTTGCATTATGTACCCCAGTAGCCTTCGAACTGCCAAAAAGCCACCTTGTCACTGGGGGGGAAAAAGTGATTGGGAAGGAACTCCCTTCTCTTGCTGATGAGAAATCTACTTACCTCTAACTATAACCAACTCTCCTTAATTATGAAGCAGTATCCCTACCACTGTCTGAGGCCAAGTCTTCCTTGTACTTTGGATCATATCACCTTGTAGCATTCTCAAGGACTTTATTACTGCAGCTTTCCATTCCGTACTGAATTACTGCTCTCTAACTCCTGGATGATTCACTCTATCTCTAGAACCTATGTCACCCAAATTCATTATTTCTAGCCTTGAACTCCATCTTTGTGATCCTCGACATTTACTAAGTATTTAAAATGTAACATGACCAACACAGAAATATTGATTTGCTCCCTCAGTTCTGTTCCTGTACTAATCCTTACCCATGTCCCTCCATGACGCCACCACCTACTCAGGAAGGTTAACCAAAAACAGAGAAGTCATCCTTGATTTCTGTCTTTCCCTCCCCTCCTACATCTAGTCCATCAGGAAGACCCGTTGGTTTGGGGTGGGTGTGACCGCAGCAGCCTAGGGCCTGCACAGGCTTTACTACCACCAGCTTTCCTAACCTTACCAAGTTCTGAAAGCCCACAGCTGGCTAAGAACAACCCCCAGACCAACCCACCACCCTTAGGCCCAAACCGGATTCCATGATTCCTAGTTGGCCCCAGGTATACTTGGACACTGCCAAGACCCCCAACTGGACAGCAAGTCCCCTAATCTGTGACCCCTCAGATTCTCTGATCCCCAAGCTGGACTGCAGGTCCAATGCCCTGGCTACAACCCCTGGATCCCAGAACCCTAGCTGACTCCCTAACTCATGTCAGTGACCCCAGGGACCCAGCTATGATCCCCGGATTATCCCCATTGACCCTCTTCCCCACCACCAAGACAAGCAAAAACTCCCAGTCGCTCCTTTGGAGGAGCACCAATGTCAGGGCTTCTGGTCAGAAACCACCTGCTCTCCCTGCCACCTGAGACTCCTCCCAGCTACCCAACTCTGGCCCTGAGATCCTGACCCCTCCCACATCTGCCTGCTGTGTTGCCCGAGTGCCCTGGGGAACTGCAAAAAAAAAAAAAAAAGAGAGAGACAAAATCAAAACTGTTGTCCCATTGGCTCTATTTCTACTGCATACTTCATTTAATCTAGGGTATGCGGATTTTTTTTTTAAAGATTTATTGTGCATACAGAACTGGGGTACAGGCCAGAGGCTCAGGGGCGGCGAGAGGCTTCGCCAGAGACAGAGTGGGGAGCAGAACAGGCAGATTGACAAAGTACACTGCTGAGGGGAGCAGTGGGCGGGTCAGGAGAGGTCTGCCACGCCATGTGGTCACCTCCGGGGCAGGCGGGAATCGAACTCAGGTGAAGTGGCTTTAGCTTCTTAGTGCTGTGCTTTAACCCGCTGCACCACCAAGGAGGGCCATATATGGATTTTTTTTTACAAGATTTATTCATACAGAATTAGGGCACAAGCCAGAAGTACAGGGGCAGTGAGAGGATTCACCAGAGACAGAGTAGGGAGCAGTACAGGCAAATTGACTGAAATAACACTGAGGGGAGCAGCAGCGGTTCAGGAGAGGGCTGCCGCGCCATGTGGGTCACCTTCGGGACAGGGATCGAACTAGCACTGAAGAGGCTGCGGCCAGCTTTCAGTGCTATGTCCTAACCCGTTGCACCACCAGGGAGGGCCTAGATATATGTATTTCTAAGAAAA